AGGGCATTGGGGTAGCCTAGTTGGCAGGAGCACCTGCATGGTACAGTGTAAGCAGTCCCAGGGCATTGGGGTAGCCTAGTTGGCAGGAAGACCTGCATGGTACTTTGTAAGCAGTCCCAGGGCATTGGGGTAGCCTAGTGGGCAGGAAGACCTGCATGGTACTATGTAAGCAGTCCCAGGGCATTGGGGTAGCCTAATTGGCAGGAAGACCTGCATGGTACTATGTAAGCAGTCCTAGGGTATTGGGGTAGCCTAGTGGGCAGGAAGACCTGCATGGTACTATGTAAGCAGTCCCAGGGCATTGGGGTAGCCTAGTTGGCAGGAGCACCTGCATGGTACAGTGTAAGCAGTCCTAGGGCATTGGGGTAGCCTAGTTTGCAGGAAGACCTGCATGGTACTTTGTAAGCAGTCCTAGGGCATTGGGGTAGCCTAGTGGGCAGGAAGACCTGCATGGTACTATGTAAGCAGTCCTAGGGTATTGGGGTAGCCTAGTGGGCAGGAAGACCTGCATGGTACTATGTAAGCAGTCCTAGGGCATTGGGGTAGCCTAGTTTGCAGGAAGACCTGCATGGTACAGTGTAAGCAGTCCTAGGGCATTGGGGTAGCTTAGTGGGCAGGAACACCTGCATGGTACTATGTAAGCAGTCCAGGGCATTGGGGTAGCTTAGTGGGCAGGAACACCTGCATGGTACTATGTTAGCAGTCCCAGGGCATTGGGGTAGCCTAGTGGTACTATGTGTGATCATTAGGCAACAAAAGACCCCGTCACACTAAAGTAGAATTTATGGATGTTGCATTTCTTAACAGTCTCAAGTGTTTTATGTTGAACCTACTGGCAGACAAGTAATCTGACAAGTAATCTAACTTCCGCTGGCTTTGTTATCTAACAGATTTGTTCATGGTGTTACGATGAATAAAGAAAAAACAATTGTGAAAATTGTACAAAGATCCCTCACTCCAACGCTACCTTTGGGGTCCAAATAATTAATGACCGTTATAGACGATCAGCGGTTTGTCCGAGGTGGAGTCGTAGGGGGTAGATGACCAACTCAACATCTCTGATCTGCGCTGCAAGTTCAGTGTTGAATAAAAGATTAGAATACTAGTTGTTTATGATTCATAGTTTTACAAAAAGATTTATTGACTGCTATGCACAGTAAAAACAATACATTATATCCCTTCAGTGAATTCAGTTGACCGAACATGCATAGCAAACTTGAAAATAAATATATGAAATTTGATTTTAACATATCTATGATGATGATTTACCATTTGAATTGTATTTCCTGCTCTCCAAGGAATTGTTTTATGTGCAGAGATTAAGATTACCGTGTATTTTCTCATGAACTAAGCTGTATATAGGAAAGCGCACGTTTTCTCCCAATCTACTGCATTCGTTACCAACTCCTGTTATTCCGAGACAAGACGAATGGCGACTCGTGCCCCTCTCATGGCTATTTTTACCACTGGGTCTTAGTGCAAATAGGCATAGCTAAAAGAATGGTCAACTCATTGCGAACTGATGCACATATATTTCCCTAATATATCATATATATTCCAGATGCTATTTATGGTATTATACAGTGTGATTGGGTAAACATTTAGATGTAAGACAAATGTAAAATCAAAAATTATTCCTGTGGGATTCTTTGACCGAAGTACTTTAAGTCATACACGCAATCTGTTTGGTTTGTCGTATTTTTGCACTTACATTTGTCCATAGGGTGACGAGTCTTCTTGAAGGTTGCGGAAAGGGGTGAGAGGTGACAAATGAATCTACCAGTGTTTTTCAGTTAAAAAGAACCCAACGATACAACTTCAAAGAACTTTGATGCAATGCTCGGGAGAAATTATTATTTCATCTGGAATGATATGTTCCAGTATCTTGTTATTTTAGTTGCAGCTTTTACTATGTATATTTAAAATTATTAGAACCATATGCATAGCACTTTGGTACAGCTGATTTCTATTGCATTGTATTTTTTACGAATGGAATAATTTGACCAGTCACCATGTCTACCCGCGCTACATGTATTTCGATTGCGAAAATGTCATGTTGACATACTTGTGGCAATTTGACTATTACTTGACTGTTAATCAAAGTATGGCATTTATGATATATGTATGCATTCTCTGTCAACTATAGTTTGCCAAAAGCGGTAATCTAACCGTGGTTGCTGTAAATTACAGTGAGTTGAGCAATTTACTGATCACTTCATGCACGATTTCACCGAAATTAATGAAAACAATATTGAATAAAATTTTGAATAAAATTAATAATAATAATATATTACAAACATAAGCCCAGATATACAATGAACACATTTTTATGACCAGGATTAAATTGCATATTTCAGTTCGGATTTGTCGACTGGTATTTCCGATGTTACATGATCAGCTGGTAATGTTTTTTGCAAATGGAAACATTGTGTCAGTGTGTAACTTGAGTTTATTAAAAATGTGAGTAGATTTGGGGCCATGCATAACCAAGTTAGCGCTATAGTGAAGGGTGCAGTAGCGAGGGAACACTGTACTTGCAAACACATTTCTAATTTGATCTCTGATCACAAAGTAATCCACCAAATTCAAGTGAGCTACAGACCTGTGACATGTATCCATCCAGTATGCTTTGAAACAAAGAGTTGTAAGACAAATGGTACATGATAGACACGAGTGAATTTCGGTGAAATCGTGTGAAAACTGATTGGCAGATTACAACATTACTGACAGCTACCACAATCAGATTTCTGATATTGACGCCTTGAACTATAGTTTTCAGAGAACGGACATATATATCTATCATAAAAGTGATCTCAATCAGTGACTCTGACTCAGATAATGTACCAAAGTGCTATTTTGTATCTAAAATAGATATGGTAAAAGGAACAACTAAAACAACAAAATAATAGAGTATTTTATTTCTGGTACAATAAATACTTCTTGCATTAGAATTATTTTAAGCAATGGGTATAAGTGAATCACTGGAGATCATAAGCCCCATTGTTATTTAGTAGCGTCTTAAAAACAGAAAAATGAATCTCTTTTAGCCCATAGGCGTAGTTGAAAGATTGATTGATCTCCCTTACCGGATGTGCTTCAACCTTGAGCACTTACAAGCCACATTGGACCTCTAACATAGGCAATATTCTGGATACTCAGTGTGATATTTTAAAAGCAAATGACAGATATGCTTTGTTTTTACTTTTTGACAGCTGTCATTTCAATTTTGACCGTGTTCTTTACTCATAATTTTCAAGTTGAAAAAGAAAATCATGTCTTGTGTTAAAATGTTGTACTCTCTCTCTCTCATTCCATTTTTGAGTATTGTTTCATTTTACATGTGATATTCATTTTTCCTAACATGTTTTTGTCCTTTTTCATTTTTACACCCTTGGATAAAAGTGTTCTGCTGAGAACGTCATTGTGGCTTAGTGAAAGATATTCTGAAATAACATCGGTCATAGAATATAGGGCTCACCACAAAAATGAATATTAAAACAGTTATGAAGTGAAGACACAAATGTCATGTTTATCCCCCCTGGGTGTATATGTTCAGTTTTTGCAATATTTTAAATTTTCAACTAGAGTTGACATTTGCTGTTCAACTATACTGTCAGCCATTCTTGTGCAAAGTAGAAGTACATTGTTTTCATGTTCTCTCCAACTGAATTTGTGTATGCCTTTTCAAACTTCTCTGAAATTGCCACGCTGAACTTTGGCAAGTATGTGTCTCCTTGTGATGACACAAATTGATATTAGTTTGTTCAGCTCACTTGTGTTCAGTGTTTTAGGTTTTAGTCCTCAGTATTTCTGCAGAACATACTCGAAAAACAATTAATATGCCATGTTGGTCAGTGGTTGTCTTTTTTGACAGTAAAATATTCTTAAGGTCTGTTAGATGGAAGTTGATGTTTTGCATTCATGTTTCAGTCAACAAAGTCTGTGTGTGTGGTAGTGGTGATATCTGATCAAGGCATCCTTGATGGCTTTGGACTGATGTAGCTCACCTGACTGAAACGCAATGGGTGACCCATTGGTGCCAGTGAATGTCTTCAGTTGGGAAACACTGTCCTTTCATTGTTATTTTAGATACATTTAAATAACCTTTTCAACTGACTGAAACTAAATTTTGTTGGTCATAGTTTTTACTGTTTGTGGTTTCTAACTGCAATTACATTGACAAGATCCTCTTGAGAACTAAAATCCATTTTTCTCTTCCAAAGGTTAGTTGAATAAGTTGCAATGTACTCAACTAATTTCTAATGTCCAGATTTGTCAAGATCTGTCACAATACTCATGCTCTTTATCTCATTTCTTTTCAAAAGAGTAAATTTCAAATTGAACTCTGGTAGTTCAGAAAGATATCTTATGTTTAATGTGATTAAAATTCTTACATATTTATCATTAGATGAGCGTGTTTTAATCATTGAGAGTTGCGACTAAAATTAATTGAGTTTTATTTGCAGAGTTTTCAAATAAATGTAAAGATTAAGCAAAAGAATATAAACAGAAAGAATGTTTGGGTAAGGATGCATAGTGTTCACTTGGACGACTTGTACCTACCAGTAAGTGGGGTGAATATGAGACACGGTGTCATTGTCTCTCATTGGTTAAACCAGAAATAAGCTGAGAAAACGTCCCCATGCTAAGTGGAACAGTCCAGTCTTCATGAGACTGGTATCCTCTTTGCAATGTCAGTGTAACTGGGGTGTTACCTGTACTTAATTTTGAGAGACTGCTAACTTCTAATTAAGCAGCCCTTGGTAAGTGGTGGCATGATGACACTGGGCGTTCAATGATTTTCACTGGGGAATTACATGGGAAAACAGGTTTAATATCATGCAAACGTCATGGAAGAACTTACAAGGTGTTCTTTTCTAGTCAGTGTGTGTGGGTGCACAAAAAAAATCTATATTTACACATGCACAGACACATAATTTGTTTGCTTACTTCAGCTGTCATACAGACTTTAAGTTATAGTCATTGTGTTCTTCTTCCAGGTTTCTTCAAGAGAACAGTCCAAAACAAGAAAGTATATTCCTGTGTAGATAATAGAAGCTGCCAAATAGACAAGAGTCAACGAAAAAGATGTCCATATTGCAGATTTCAAAAATGTCTGACTGTGGGCATGAAGTTAGAAGGTATGTAGATGTTAGGTTCACCACTTTAAATGATTGCATCTATTTCTGTCTCCTCTCCCTCTGCTCACAATCTTTCTTTCTCTGTATTTGTGTAAAACAGTATTACAAAACAGCCAGCAATATATCAAATTGCCACCCCTATGGTTATTTTAATGTTAAATATATACAGTAAAAGCATCAACTGATAAAACAAAAAAATAGAAAATATTATTCCTGGTACACTTTTTTCTGATCATTGCATTAAAAATCTTTTAGTTATGATATGGGGTATGTTTTACGTGAATAACCAGTACATTACAGGAGAAAATGTGTGTACAGCTGATTGCTATTTTTCTTGCTTATTTTGCCAGATATACACCAATAATACTTTTATTGGCATATGGGAAATGCCTTGTGTAAAAGGCTTGTAGACTGATATTGTAAATCATCATATCTAGTTCTGTAAATATTGAATTTAAAATATCCATTAGACAATGGTCGATGACCAATGGTGATGTGAATCCCTGCTGTATACGTCTTCTCCTGTAGAACTATTGGACTGACGAAGCCAAATTGTTGTGAAGTGTCGTTCTCAAGAACTGCAAAAAGTAGAAGCAGAAACTATGTGTTAATGTTAATGGCTTTATAAGATTCAAGTTTGTAGCCATAAATAATGTCACATTTTTACAATGGAAAATGGAAAACTGTTTTGAATTTCCGACATCTTTTTAATGCTCTGCAATTGCATGTCTTATGTCGTGTATTTATGGTCAAAACTATCAAGAAATCACCTTGAGGACATAAATTGTCATCACATGCACACTGCCATTTTGTTCTGTAGCCCTTGGCAACCAACTGTATTCAACTTGCTATTTTGAAGGGCTGGCCTCACAACAGCATGCGGTGTTACATTCTAGCCTCCCAGATACAGCCTACTGGAATATTTGTCATGTTTGTCACAATTAAGGAGTTCTGTTTTATGAAAGTCATCAAAGTGGATTGTTTGTCATATATAAAATGTTTGTAAAAATTGTTTAGAATAAGCAAAATATATTTCCATAGAAGGCACATACAGAATCAGAGTTTAACCTTTGTGTATTGTGAATTTTACTGTTCTGCATTTCAACAATATCATTCAATGTTACATTCATTTAAGATGATGTTAAGTTCATTCATTCTCAATGTTTACAGAATATTTTGTTCATTTTAAACTGTCAACTCCTTATCCAGGTGAGCTACAGTGCTGTGACATTGAAGGTCACTGAGTGTGAGCTGGGCATAAGGAAAGCTTGTGGGGTAAAGTCTTCATGAAATCAACTTTTATGTGACCCCTGTTAAAGGCCTTGGTCACTACAGGGACCACAGCTCAAACATTAATGTTAAGGTTTGATGTAATTCATTTGAATAAATATTTGAATCAACTCATCCAACTCTTTCAACACTGCAGGACAGTATCCATTGCAGTAATTTGATTGGCAGCCTTAGGTCACGTGCTTGAATTTGACCAATCCTTGATCATTAAACAAGCATTTCGGCAAAAAATTGTCATTAGAAACCAATTTCTATCCAATAAAATTGCATGTTACAATTATAACTCTTGGTGAGGTTACTGTGAGATTATTGATGTTCAGAGTTTTATATCTAATAAATCTTCAAAAATGGATGTATATCCCAGTACATGTATATCCTGATGCCTCTGAGCGGAAAGCCACTGTTATCGAGAAATAGGTGATGATAGATATTATTTAAAATTCATCTTATGATCATTTTCCAATTCATAAACAATGAAAATATTAAAGAAATGGGTAAGTGGATATTATGAAATTTTACAATTTCTGAAAATCGCCACACTTTTCGCTTCATTGATGTTTAATCTGAATTTTATGAATGTTTTAAGTTCATTTTTAATATAAACATAAACTAAGCTATAACATAATGCATTATTTATATAATGTGATAAACATAATTTTCGTATTTATAAACAGTAGGATTAGACCTTCCAAATGGTGTATGACATGTAGTAGCAAAGATGTTTTACAAGCTGGTATTTTCTGTGATGAATGTAGGCTTCATTACCCCAGAGTCACTGGAAAGTTGGTGTGAGAGCAGGCCATGTAGTTGAAGGTCCCTCTTGAAAAGCTTTGATTTGTTAGTGTCAATGTACAAAAGCCTTGAAAATGACAACTAGCTTGAAAAGCCTTGAACTTGTACAAATGATATCCTTGTTAATGAAAACATTAAAATTCATGACAGGTTAATTCATTTTGACAGGTTAATTTATTTTAATTGTTCATTTACAAAATGAATCATTGTCAGACAATTTGTGATGTTCATACTGCTTTTTACTTCTTATTACAACTAATAATATCAGGGATTTATTAATTGGACCTGCACAGAGGCCAATATTCATCTGCAGCAAATGACGGTACAAATTCCCTAACTGAATTTCAGTTTTCCCAACTCCTCAGATTTAATGAAAATAGGAATATTTAAAAAATCAAAGTTTGAACTTTGCCTTTAAACCTGAGGGGTGGTGGGGGAGCCTTGTTAAAGCATTCGCTCATCACGCCAAAGACATGATTGGGTTCGATTCCCCACATGGTTACAATGGTTACATTTCTGGTGTCGCCCGCCATGATACTGCTGGAATATTTCTAAGAGTGGAATAAAACCATACTCACTCACACACTCACTTTGAACCTGAAGTGCATATAGCTTGGTCATTAAAGTAGCTGAAGGCTTGTATCATATGCTCTTCAAAAGTCAGAAACAGTACACTGGAAATATGTTGGGCAATCCTATACTATTGCTACTGTCGGTATACAAAGGCTCCAAATTGACATTGAGCCTGTATTGAAGGCTTCAAGAGACAGAAATGAGCAGAAATCTCCAAACAACCACAGAATGTTGGAGGACAGAAATATCTAATGCTACCGGGTACCCATTCACTGCTGGGTGAACAGAGATGTAGTCCGAACAGTCACTTGCCGTAGGTGACACCAGATGTGCTACATATGCTTCAGTGAGGGTAGGACCAAAGCCCTAGAAACTCTCAGGAGTCAAGTTGGCAAACAAGATTGCACATCCAAAGACACTCTATGGCTGACTTGCCTGATTTGTGACCCATGCACTGTGCACAGGACTACATCCCACCATAGGTATGTTCTGTGTCTTGTGTTGGAGTTATGTTACCACATATGAGGTGAGAGGGCAAATTTCAAGATTCTTGTAATGGCCGTGCCCACAATGGCGGCAGCAATGTTGCTGAGAGTGTGACGAAGGTGTCATGTGCTGGGAAGGAGCTTGTTAAAAGTTATTCCAAGGGAAGGTAACTCTTGATTGAGGTAGACATGATCAGTGAAAAAAGGATATTTTCAAGTCAATGAAGATAATCTTACAATATGCTGAAGACCTTACACATGGTACTATTTCTTTTAAATAATATCAAACAGTGCACATGTGCAATTCTGTATAGAGGGTTACATGATCAAGATGGCTGTGATAAATGACCTAATGCTTTCACCATATATCTATTATCCTAGCCGATGTGTTATCCCCCTTCTCAAAAACACATGTATGTGACATGCACATGCAACATCACTTGTTGAGGTTTCAATTGCATGCCATCACAATCTTACAGCAAGTGAATGCAAAAACATGCCATGACTGATGGAAACCAAACGCAACAATGCCATCGGCTGACTGCAAACACGAGAATCATCTAAAGCTGTAGCCAGGTTTTTGCATGTATCACCAAACACCATTACAAGACTTGTTAAAGTTGACAAGGCAAGAGAAACAAGAAAAGTGTATGTTGGATTCAAGGTCATAGGTGTGGCGGGACTTGTGGGCTGCCCTAAGTTATTATTAGAATGAGTTACATTCGGCAACTTGAGTTACCAGCAAGCAGTAGCAGCAGCATCAGAACAGCAATGGGCAACTATGTTGCCAGCAGCAAAATACTAAGTTTCTGATGAAAAGCAGACATGAATTACGTTAAGCTAAGAGGTTCCCATCCGCCGAGACGCAGAGAGACTGAACAGATTCCCGCTGAAGAGCAGGGACCTGATAATTTTAATGATTAGTTGGTGATGAAGTAAGAATTGACATTTTTAGCCCACAAGAACCACGCCATGTGGCTTGTGCTAAACCCACACCAAAAACCATGAACCATGAGTGACCCCCTAACTAGGTACAGACGAATTAGGTGTTACTAACTTGTTTACATACTACTTACATCAGGGCTTCGCAGATTGAGTGGAAATTTGCAGCCCTTTGACAGACATACAAACTGTCCCCACAATTTGGGATGCTGAATGTGCGACCCCGAAGGGAACAAATGCTGAGTCAGCACCGGTTGGGTGGACATGGAAATAACCCTTGACTGCTGTGACTGGGCAGAGGATGATGTGGAATAGCTGCAAGGGTGATGGAAACCCCTGTTTTGAGCCCTGTCACCTTTTGAGTGCCTTGGGATGAATGTTACCTGTCCCCGCTCTATTGGCCTGGTTTACTTTGTACCAGCTCACCCGCTCGGAAAAACACAAAGAAAGCAATGGAGAACACAGCTGTATAGAGTTTCCAAAGTTTCAAAAGCTGACATGCAAATACAGTAAACTACGGTTATAACAAACACGCTTATAACAAACTGACCGATATAACGAACTTATTTTTTAGTCCCGTCCATTTGTTGTATATATGCTGTATATATGTCTATAACGAACTAGGGTTATATGACTGTAACAGGTTTGCAAGTGTCAGTGTTGTTCTTGCCCTTACTCATACCAGATATGAGCTTACGCACCAAGAAATGATCGGTGCAGACCAACATGCCCCTTAGCTTATGGTTCATAGATATAGTAGATACATAGGTTCTTACCATATTAATGGAGAATCCCTTCACCGACATATATGCAATGAAGTTGACAATGAGATGTTTGGAACTGGCCACACCTGAGACAACCCATGTGTTGTTCTGAAAACCTGCAGCACCTTGACCGCCATTTCGTATGTTGACCACA